CACACACACACACACACACACACACACACACACACACACACACACACTCTCACACACCCACAACAAAATACTTGCCCTGTAGTTTTGAATTTTATTTATATTTATAATTTTTTGATTTGTATAAATATAATTTCTCTCAGCAATTATTCGTGACGCAGCCAATGTTTTATTGATACTTTATCCGTATGCGGAGGCCTGGAGACCTATAGCACAGGGTATCCTAGTTTAGGCTCCAGCCTTCACAGACAACAAATGTTTTATTACTTAAGAATGTTTAATTATGGTTGAAATTGTGTGTGAAGGAAATAAATTTATTATTATTATTATTAATTTCCGTCTACAGTCCAAAATATACGAAAAGAACAGGACTCCTTTTTTCGTGTAGCTAGATTTCCAACAGTCGTTGGTGTCATGGATTGTATTCATATACGTATAACGTCATCAGCCCCCGTAGCATGGCTACGCATGTTAGTTGCGACGCGCGCGATAAAATTGGCATAAGCGCGCGCTATTGGCTGTCTCAATCAGATCTACTTTATATAGCCAATAGCGCGCGCTTATTTCAATCCTATCGCGCGCGTCGCGACTATCATTCGTTGCCATGCTACGGAGGCAGGTGGACATCAAGTTAAGCTATATCGCAACAGGAAGGGCTACTTTTCCATCACCGTACAAACTATCTGTAATGCTAACTTGGAAATAACTGACATAGTAGCCAGATGGCCTGGATCATCATACGACAGCACAATTTTTAATAACTATTATAGAAAAGCTAAATTTTAATCTGGATGTTATGGCAATTCCTTGTTGGTAGTGGATGGTGGTTATGCTTCAAATTCTTACATGATGCTTCCTTTAGATAACCCCAGGACAACAGTTGAGCAGTTGTACAACGAATCACAAATACGGACACGAAATTGTGTAAGCTACTATGTTCCGTGTCACGTGTGTTCTGTTGCCGGATCCGCTGAAAATCAGCGTCGTAGCACCATAAGTGAGACGACAATAAGCTGAGTGGGTCACGGTTTCCGTGGCAGCACAGCACACACGCGTTGTACTCTTCTATATATTTGTAGTTAGTACTATTTTTATTGTTATTATTACAAAATGCATGTGTACTGTGTTGTCTAGTTAAGGAATAAATGTTTTCTTAAGTGTGACAAGCTATGGAATGAATCCGGTTTCGCGCA